AACTGGCTCAGCAACCTCCACACCCTCCCTTGCCTTGCGTCAGTGGTAGGAGAGGCTGTTAATCAGATGCATGCAGCACAGCGTGAGCTGCAGAGCTTGTATCTCAAAAAATTAAGTGCGTGGCGGTTTCAGAGGGTAGCAGAGAGAGTCCAGACTCTCTGCACCGGAGAAGGGGTGGAGGCATCACCCAGGCATGAGATAAGCAGAGAGAAATGGGCACCCTGGGTGTCTCTGCCCCAGCCGCCAGCTGCCAGGCTTTCTGGGGTGGCAGGTACCTCTGCTCAGGGTAGGAGGTTTGGGGTCAGTTGTAGCGATAGCCCCCGGCCAAAATGTTGCTGATGACGCAAATAACTGGAGGGAGAGAGATTATGCCACTGCCACATCTCAACAATATTTCCTGAAACAGGATCTGTGTTGACATCGCTTCTCTGATCTGTCATCCTCTTTGCAGACCTAAGAATACTATGAGGGATGGAGAGAACAGACTGTCCCAGAATTTAATGAAATCTGATAATAATAATGCTAGTGTTAGCCCAGTCTGCCAAACCCACCAGCACCGTTCCTCAAGGATGTCACCCCTTGGACCCAGGAAAGACCGTGTGAATCTGGCTCCATTACTTCAGCAACTTACTTTCACTTTTCTCTTGAGGAAAATACATCAGATCTTGCTTTTTCCTGAAGAACTGAAACTGTGTCTTGATTTAATTCCGCAAGGAAGAAATGTTCCCAGATCCTAATGAGATTATCCTATTAAGAGTGTTAAATAGGTCATTGTCTACTACAGGTGTATTACCTCCTGTAGAGAAAAAAGATTATGATTTATAGGTGGGAATGTATGCTGCATAAGTAATTACAAACTAAAATTCTAAGATGGGTAGTGACTTCTCTCACATTCGCTGTGGTTGCTTCCAAAAGCTCTTATTTTAGAGATGAAGAATACTGTGGGTTTTCTGGTGCACACTGCAAGCGTGGAATAAACTGTGAATAAATGCCACTCTGCTCCAGTTGTTGCTTTTTCATAAAGCGTCTGGGTGAGCTTCATGAGCCATGAAATGCCTTTTGGCACTGTAATGGTTAGGAGATAAATATTGGCATTAGGGGAAAAAAAAAAAGGTTGTTCATTATTCAGTGTATTTTACCTCAGGAGTTATTGGTTAGTTTTAAAGACAGCCCGTCATCCCAGCGAAGGCAGGAGCCACGCTGTCACACTGCGTGGCCGTGGTGGCAAACAGTTGCGCTGAGCAATCTGTGAGCAACATCTGGACCGACGCTCCTGAGTGCGGCTGTCTGCTGCAAACGCTCAGGGGCAGCAGACGTGCGAGGGGAAGCTGAGGCGGCTTGCTGTTGATTCACAGCCCGAACGGGCGGGCTAATGGGGTCCCGGGATGCAGCTGCCATTGATCACTTTTAGCCAGCAGAGCACTGCCCGGGAACCGGACCGGAAAAGCTATTTATTGAGTAGAAAGAAATGGGGCTTCAAATTGCAGTAACTGGGGAATGATTGGCAACAGGTAAAAATGTTTTGCTGCCACAGGAGGAGGCAGGAAAGTGGGGGAGGCTTAGTAACCTCAGAGCTGTGACAGGGGGAATGGGAGAGGCAAAAAGAAGTGAAGGAGCTGAACCAAAGCACAAATGAACACGGTCCCCGGCGGTAGTTGGAGCATGGGGAACATTTTATGCTGGTTTGTGATAAAGAAAGAAAGTTTAGTTTAGAGGCAGTGGAGAATCATCTGGAAGAAATAAGAGGAATCACCCAGGATTGCTGGGTGCAGAGGACAGGGAGGATTCGGCCACGAATCCTTGATGGCTATGCCTTGAAGGCTCCCTCGACAGGCAGGATAGGGCCAGGGCCAACACAAAGCATTAGATAAGTTCTACAAAGAGAAATGAAAATTAGAAATTGCAGGAACATGGCCTGCTTCATGCCTGTTTGAATACCAGCATTATTCCTGAACAGCCAAGAGTTCACTAGGGCACTTTAAAGTCATGTAAGTAGGTCAGCTTGTCGCCAGAATCTGCTTATCCCCAAAACACATGAAATTACTTCCTGATGGCCAGCAGATGAGAAGCAGACAGCAGCGAGACACATCAGTGGCAGCCCAAGGGCGTATCGACAAGGCAGAAGACTCCAAAAAGTGCATTTTGAATTTGCAAGTGCATTTTGCTGCATGATGCCCAGGTCCAAGCAGTGCCAAAGAAGCTGCTCCTTGCAATAGCACTGGTACTGCATAACCCAAGGCTCCCCCGAACAGTGGTTTGCCTGTGGGCTTATTCCCCGCCCTCCTCTGGGAAGCACAGAGCAGATTCCCGAAAAAAAACAATCCCACTTGGCCAATGCTTCACTTCAGGGTGAGTTGGTGATACAGCCCAGCGTGCCCACCCCTCGCCTGGGCGACGCAGAGGTGGTCTGCTTCTCTGTGGCAGCAGAAAGATGAACTTCCCTCCAATGCTATCGTCTTTCAGAGAGTTCCCAGCCCAGGGAAAAACCTTCCTGCAAGGCCTGGGGTTCGGCCACCACTCGCCAGAGGGACAATGGTGCTCGGGTGGTGACACTCGTTTTTACAAAAGGAGTTTTGCCACTGTAAATCTCTACAGAGGGATTTGAAATGTATGCTAATGGGCAAAAAGTCTCATTAGTAGAGTTAATTAGAGTTAGCGTTTATTACAGAGAGAAGCTAATTTTTTTAACTTTTAATTAAAGATGAGTTAGAACTGTTAAATGTTTAAAATGTTACTTTTGCTCAAGCTAGCACTTACATTGCTAAAAGCAAAATACTTTCCTTTAATGATGAAGTAAAATATTGGCCAAACACCTGAGAGAAGCTTTCTTGACAGCGGGCTAGGAGACAGTATGAAACCAGAAACAAATATTTCCACAGTTTTTAACATTTTTTTTCCCCTGGAATACTTTGAAAAGATCTTCTTCTAATGAAAATACCCAGCTGCCTCTGGTGAGTAAATGTAACGGCTGTGCTCCTTGCTGGCAGAGCCCCCGGGGAGCCTGGCTCTCTCCAGAGCCCCTGATGGCACCAGCCATGGCTGCGGGAGGAGGGAGGCGAGCCACCTGCCTGGATCCTTTGCCAGGCAGTCAAAACCAGGGGCGTCCCGCTTTACAAAAATCATCACTCCCCTCCCTTTGCCCTGTCCCAGCTGCAAGCTCCCATCACCCCCGCTGCCATGCCCAGCCCGACTCCAGCCTTCCGTAAAAAGGTAAAAAAAAGGTAAGAGCCATTTCACACATGTGACAGAAGGTAACGCTGCGGGGATCCGGTCCTTCCCATTGCGCTTCCCTCCCAATGTCCTCACCCACCCGCCCGTGACCGGCTGTCTCATCTCTCCCTTTTCCTGTCGTTTCCCTGCAGCCGGCCGCAGCGTCAGAGACGGGAGGCCCACGGCGAGGCGCACAAGCAAGGCAGGTAGGCGAAACCCTCCGGCGGCTACTGCTGGCCCAGCCCCACCGGCCACATCCCCGTGGCCAGGCTGAGGCTGTGGCAGGGGAAGGGGACACCACTCGAGCATGGCAGTCGTATTTAGGTAGGAGTCATGCCATCAGCAGGATCCAGCGGGCCCCAGAGGAAGGCATGTTGCCTGACACGCTCATGGAGGTGAGGTGTGATACCGTGGCCATTTGCCACAGCCCCTTGGGCTTCGCATTGTGCTGCTGCACGGTTATTGTCACCCGTGCTGTGTGAGCGGGTGCCTTCCCTCCGAGCATCCCTTCTGCAGAGCTGAACCCCCTCCACGGGCTCTCCATCACACTCCACCATCCTTCCCTCTGCCACTGCCAGGGAGAAAGTGCCTTTCTGAGCATGGTCAAGCCTGCTCACAAATCTTGAAGGTTTTGCCAGTGACCTGCTAATATCGCTCCCCCGTCTCAGCCAGGTATAAACCTTCCCCGATGCACGCTTACAATGCCACAGGTCTTTCAGAAGCTGAATTAAATCTAAAGCAGAAGCAGGGGCCACCTTTTAAAATGCCTGAGGGATAATTCATGACTAGAAGAACTCACCAATGGAGGTAGACAACTCACCACTCCTAGAAATTATTAAGCTGAGACTGAGCACCTTTCTAAGATACTCCATAGTCCAGATAAAGGTCTGGGTTTGAAAGAGGAGTCACTGAGAACACCTCTGGTCCCTGTTAGGAGACCGTTGTATTGGCTTCTCGTGGCACAACCGCCCACAAGTCTGTGAGAAGTACAGCACGGCTTAAGCAGTCTCATTTAGGAGGAGCTTTATCTGAGGAACGTATCCCCCATCAAGTTTCCTTGTCATCCTGTTTTCCTTTAATCTATTTCTGACTTGTCTTGTGTATATTCAGACAAGTGCCTCCCTGAGCATGCCATCTTTTCTCAAACCAAGAACCAGCAAGACCTTTCCTCCTGTTTTTGAGATTTCCTGCCACCCGAGTGGCTGGCATGCAGCTGGCTCCGAGGGCAGCAAGCCTTCACCTACGTGGTGGAGCAACCGAGGAGCTGCTGCCACCACCATCCCAGCCAAAGCACTGGGGCGCCGAACAGCTTTTTGCACCTTGGATGTGGAGGACAAGCAGAGCATCCTCTGCCCAGCTTTTGGTGCAGCTCCAACAGCTGCTGGAATGACCCTCCCAGGCTCTCTAATGCTCAGAGACCTCCCAGGTCTTTAATGCTCCTTTTTATCCTCATTAGAAATCTGGGGCAGGAGCTAATCATTTTATCCCAAGTCAGGGGATGGCCTGCCTCCTGGCCTGGTTCCCAGCCTGTCTCCATTTTGTTCCTGGGCAACAGCCAGTAGCTTATTTCATATATTGTTTCCCTAATTCCTGGGCTCACGCCCTGTCATAACTCAATGTCAGAAATGCCTCCCCCCCATTTCCATTTCCCCACTTATCCACACGCACTATTCCTCCAGCCCACACTTTCGAGTGGTTGTCTCCAAACAGTGCTATAAGCAGAGAGAATTTTACAGGGACAAAAAGTCACCACACAAATGTTTTCTCAGTGCCAGAATTATCACAGGTGCCTAAGCTGTATATTGAGTGCAGGAATAATTTTTTTAATGACACACTGCCAACCAGTGCAAGCAATCGCATGGTTATGGTCTAAGAGGTAAATGTTCTAAGGGGTAACGGAGCGAAGCGGGCGTGTGATTCTCACAGGCCCTGCTCAGGGCTCATGGCTGTGCTCCTCTCTTCCTGCTAGCCCAATCCTAAAACGAAGCCCCGACATCACCAAATCTCCCCTGACGAAGTCAGAGCAGCTGCTGCGAATAGATGACCATGACTTCAGCATGAGACCAGGTTTTGGAGGTATGAAACGTGCATATCTGTCACTGTTCCTGTTCTCCACTGTCACTTCTTTATACTGTAACACATAGTCAGGTGAACAGGCAGATTGACAAGCAGAGCCTTTTCTGTCTCTAATTTTTGTTATTTTGTGTTGTGAATTCATGACATGCTCGGGGGGACAGGGGTGCAGTGAAATAGCCTTCCTTGGAAGAGCAAATAGCATAGTGAAAGGCATGGAAATGTGATTACAGGTAATATAATATTCCTAGTATTCAGTGACACTTTCTTCTGATAAAAATCTGAAAATACACCTTATGTTTATTTCCAGATGGTGGGATTAAGATTTCATCTTACTATGGCGATGTGTATGCATAATCAAATCATGTATCATGCTTACTGACCTGGCTATTTCATTTATAACCCAAAAGAAAATATTTTGACTGCCGTGTGTTAATGCTTGCTCACAGTTTTGTGGCTGTGTGCTAGAGCAACCTAAGCTTTCAGGGAAATGGATGAAGGAGAACACGTTTCCTTTCAGCCCATCGGATTAGAGAATGTTGTAATTTATCTACCCTTTCTGGCTGACAGATGGTCATTCAAATCCAGGATACCATTATATACTCTGATGGAAGAAGATTTTATTGCTAAATGCTCAATATACCAAATACCAGCATGTTCAATTAATTTAAAAAGGTTTCAGTTTCATAGCAGTCTGCTAATGTGAGCATTATTTGTCTTGACAGATCTCCTGTACTGTAATTGCCAGAGGTATACGAGGGGCTAGTCAAAGCCTGGAGGAGGGAAAAAAGATCGAAATCCCTGTTACGTGGGGTCACAGTCGGACCCTTCCCCTCAGGAGCCCCAGGCTCTGTGGCACATGCCTGTGTCCTGCAACACATCCCTTCCCGTCACCCTGTCTTTTCCACAGCTGAGCACTGAGGGATGTGAAAGCCAAATACACGGAGTAGCTCTCAGAGATGTTATTAGCCTGAGAGGGGAGCAGAAATGAGAGAAAAATTCAGAGTAACTCTCCCACATTCCCTGAGCTATGCTGTTACTGCTTTCCATGAGAATGGGTGCTCTGCCAGGCATCCGTCTTGCAAGCCCTGGACCCAAGAGCTTGAGCTAAAAGCAATTAAAATTGCTTTTAAATTTTGAAGGGATGCGTGTAGGATGACACAATAAGAAGAGAAAGTTAGTAATAGGTCAGTGTAGTTGCTGATTTTGATTGTTATTAGGAGATTTTTGTTATTAATTCCGATCGCTTCTACTTTCAGTTGGTTCACTGTTGTTTCTATTTCAGACTGAGCATCTATTTTTATCTCTAAGATATGAAAGCCAGAGGGTTACTTTGTCGACTTTTAATTTTTCTCCCCCAGGCCCTGCAATTCCTGTTGGGGTGGATGTCCAAGTTGAAAGCCTGGACAGCATTTCCGAGGTGGACATGGTAAGAGTCACAGAAGGGCTAAGGTCAGATAGGACCTCTGGAGGCCATCTAACCCAAACGCCTGCTGAGAGCAGGGCTGGCTAGAGCAGGCTGCCCGGAGCCATGTCTGTGGGGTTTGAATACCTCCAAGGACGGAGACTGCATGGCCTCCAGGAAGCAGATTTGGGTTTGATCTGAATCTACCGACAATTACTTCTATTGACCTCACGCTACCATTTAATCTCCCTTGAAGCAGAAGGAAGAAATCTGACATTTTCTTTTCTCTAGGACAAAATGATACAACACTGCTAAAACTGCTCCAAATGGATTTGGGTTTTTACATTTTCTTAAGAAGTGCTAGCATGTTTAAAAGCTCTGAGGAGACCAATTAATGCCTTAGTTTTACGGCACTTTGATACACTGCAGACATGGTCTCGCTTTGGCCATGCTCTGGGGCAGTTAGGGGCCACTAGCTCCCAACCAGAAGCCAGGTAGCCATCCTGAGAGCAACACTGGTTCAGACTGGTAAGTCCTGCTCTCGACAGAGCAGCCAGAAGGAGCTCAGAGGCGAGAAGTTTCTCCACACGCTGCCTTTGGCACATTAGCGGTTGCATCACGCCTGCTGCATGCTGGGGACCAGTGTAAGGCTCTCTTGGTCCTTCCTGAGTCTTCATGCTGATGCTGAAGTAGGATTTCAGGGCACACAGGACTGATGCTGGTGCTCTGCACAGGCTAAATTCCTTACTGAGTCTCTGTCCTTTGTCTCCTACCATGCAATTACTAATGTGAAAACAGACAGTTTTCAAATGCTCGTGAAGTGGTATGGATTTTGGTCTTGATAATTTCTGCTGGAGGCACTTTTTTCACCACAAAACACTGCCAGAAGTAAGGTATGATTTCTGCAGGACATTTTCAATGGGAAGATTTTACGGGCATATATGACATGTAACAACAGCCCATGCAGGAGAGCAGGACCACAAAAGGGGAACAGGAGATGGCCCTGCATGTACATCAAAAGACTTACACCAATTTTATTCATCCTTTCAAAACCCAGAGTTTTCCAGACCTACCCTGTCAGAGCATCCCCAGTCTTTAAGCAGCTCAGCTTTTGCTTTGGGAAAAAAAAAAAAAGTCACACCCCAATACAGAATGCTTTTCAAAATGTTTTGCTGTTACAATGAATGTATCAAACAGCTCTGAAGCTTTCACAGAAAGCCTCAACTTCTCTGTGCTCTTAATTAACAATGGCCACAGGATTAAAGAGCCCATGCGTGACCTCCTCCCATGAGCAAGCTAGCACGGTTATGTGGCAGCACGCTGGTGTTTGGCAGCTGCCCCCGTTGCACGCTACCACTGCAAGTGCGTGCGGAGGCCGTGTGCTCCATGGGCAGCTGGGCTCCTCTCACTGCAGCGATTTCAGCTTTTGAATGGACTGGGATATCTACAGTCAAATGACCACTCGCAGGGTGCAGCAGGGTGCACATTTGCCCCAGCCCCGGGGAGCCCTGCAGCTGCCCCCCCATCTCCGGTGCTCTTGGCACCCTGACCGCCAGCTGTGGGGACTCTGAGCTTTTACCGCTCCGGGGGTGATCCCAGCCCTTCTGGTTCAGGAGAAAGCTTGTGAAGGTGGCCAGAGAGCCCCGGAAAGGCTTCAGGACTTGAAGGCAAAGGCAAAGATCTTAAGTTCCAGGATTTTAAAAACCCCCTGCAACTCATTTTTTAAGCAAGCATGATGATTTTGAGGGACTTCCCTTGTTTTTTTAATATTGCCCCTGCTCCTTGTGTAACATCGTGCCGCAACACCCAGCAACATAGGAAAAGCATTGTATGGCCTCGGGTAAAAAAAAAAAAAAAATCAGGGTCAGTTTTGGCTGTTTGCAAAATAATGATGGAGAAGACTTTGTATTGTCAGAATCAATTCTTTTCACTCATGCAGTTTTAAAGAAAAAGGCCGTGGTGCTTTGCAAGACGATTGATTGTTTTTTAAATGAAGAGACATCACTGACAGAGATCTTCACTCTGTCCTACATTTAAGCTTGAGGAGTTAGATACAGCAATCTTTCATTTTCTCCTACTTTCTGACTATTTGCAAGAAAGTGGTAAAATAATAGAGGCCACTATAAAACTTCGTTAGGGTGTCACAAATCAGATTCTTCTTGTGCAATTGATTTAAAAATGTGTAAGTATCTATTATGGGCCACTGACCCTGAAATTAACAGAGCTTTTGTAGGACGTGCGGGGCAGCTGTTTCATCTGGAGGAAAGATGGGAAGAAGGAAAAACCAGATTGTTACCCAGAATTGAAAATTCATTTGCAAAGATAATGAGAAGCTAATAGTGTCTCTGAGAAATGGACCAGAAGAAGAGGGAGACGTTATACGGCTGTTGCTTGGAGGATTTTCAGATGATGCATATAAAATATTGTGATTCCTAGTTTAATAGCCCAAACCTAGTGTTAATAAATAATTTCTGATGAAAGTTGACAATACTTGGTCTTTCCACAGCAACCATAAATGTAACTTTATGCAAAAAAGCAAGGCATTGACTTCTCTCTGAAGAACAAACATCTGTCAATTCATTACTGTTTAAAGAACACATTAACACATAGGAGTCAATGTAAAAGGTTTCCCAGAACTATCTCCTTTAAATTTGAATACAGGGAAAAGGTGTTAAAAACTGCTATAGAACAGATCAAACAAAAAAGAAGAAATGACATGGTCAGTGGCTTTGGGAGCTTCAGCTGGATGTGGTATAAAGAATTTCCAAGAATTATATTGGCCTTTACTGTAAAAATAGCATAGGCTGCAACTAGCAAATCACTTCTACTGAAAAAAGACTACAGAAACCCCCGTATTCCAAAATGCTTGGAAAGTGCTGTGGAGAAAAAAATTCCAAATGTCAAATAATTTCAAAAAACCACTCCAAATCCACCTGATTTCCTCTCCTCCAGACACCACGGCAGACTGGTCAGTCTTAGAACTTCCCTGAGTTTGTGGGCAATATATTACGTTACACTGGAAGATACCATGCTTATAAACACTTGTGCTTGAGCTTATCTTCAGACACGTGAAGGGTTCCTTTGAAATAAGGAAAAAGGCAAACCCAAGTGTACATGCCTCCGGTGTCAGACTCCAAATACAACAGAGCTCAAGGAGAAGGAGCATGCCTTGGATGTAAGAGTACGATATTTGGGGAGAAAGAGAAAAAAAAAAAAAAAAAAAAAAAAAAACAAACCCAAAACATTTTGGTCAAATACTGAGTCAAAAACATTTCAGTGGCTGTGCTGGAGGAAGAGCTCCCACTGCAGCACTCTCCTCTGGCTGCCCGGGGGAAGATAGTTGCTGGAGCAGCATGAAGGACAGTGCGGGCAACAAATGCTTCTTCACTGTTGGCTCCAGAAATGCAGCTTCATAGGGTTGGTGGATTAAGTGGTTAGCAGCACTCTCCTGGAAAGAAAAAATTATTTGGGGAAAAAAAAAAAAAAAAAAAAAAAAAAACAAACCCAAAACATTTTGGTCAAATACTGAGTCAAAAACATTTCAGTGGCTGTGCTGGAGGAAGAGCTCCCACTGCAGCACTCTCCTCTGGCTGCCCGGGGGAAGATAGTTGCTGGAGCAGCATGAAGGACAGTGCGGGCAACAAATGCTTCTTCACTGTTGGCTCCAGAAATGCAGCTTCATAGGGTTGGTGGATTAAGTGGTTAGCAGCACTCTCCACCTACCACTGCCTTCTGCCTTTTGGTCCCTGGAGGGGTCGCAGACATTAAAACACAATGTTTGCATTTCAGAGGTGGATTCGCCAGCTGGATGGGATGTGATTTCTGAACCCAGTAAGCTGCTCTGACCTGAGGAATAAATAAGCTGCAGCCAGTCATGTCCCCTGCAGCTCAGGGAGTGGATGTACCTTCAGGAATGGTGCTTTTACAGCCTGTGGTTTCTCCCAGAGAGGAGAAGTCACTGCTATGCCGATAAGGCATTAAGTTGTGACAGAAGCCTGTTTGTTGCAGGATTTCACCATGACTCTTTATCTGAGACACTACTGGAAAGACGAAAGGCTGTCCTTCCCCAGCACCAACAACCAAAGCATGACCTTCGATGGCAGGCTGGTGAAGAAGATCTGGGTCCCTGACATGTTCTTTGTCCACTCCAAGCGTTCCTTCATCCACGACACCACCACAGACAATGTCATGCTGCGGGTCCAGCCAGATGGGAAGGTACTTTATAGCCTCAGGTAAATCTGCATTCGGTCAATATGTGAGCTATTAGTGGAGTGAGAGAGAAAGAGGTTTAGTTGATTCCTGTATTGTGTTTTTGCATGACTTCATACTGAAAAAAAACCATAAAAAAGAATGAATGTGCTGACTATCCACCGACGTCTGAGTCCCTGTGCAAGTTCATTAAGTGCCTATTGCAGGAAGCCAATGTCTATGCCAAAGTTGCTGGTTCCACTAGTGTCCCTTTGCCTTGTGTGCATGGTTAGCCCTTGCTCCTGCTGTCGGGAAGCTGCGTCCAGATGCGGCAGTCCCTCAGAGCAGTTCACTGGGGGCCAGCGGGCTGCGATCCCCATGGGGCACTGCAGAAGAGGCAAAGCACTATCTCAGGAAGAGGGCAATATCTAGTAATAAACAGAAGTTCAGAGCAGCTGTAGTTATTCAGTTCACAAAAAAGTCTCTGGGCCTCACGAATGTCCAATTTCTATTTGTAAGGTAATTATGAAGAAGTATAATTTATACTGAGCACAACTTTAGCTTTATGATAAGCAACGAGACATACTAAGCATCCTTCAGCACATGAAGCAAGAAGCTTCAGAGCAAGGGTATGTAGCTCCTGGTGACTCACATGTATGCCTAGAGCAACCCAAACACTTGACTTCGACTGTTTGTGCTTTTTGTGCACTATCTATTTCATGTGAAATACATGAAAGCTCCTTGAAGAGGGGGTGAAATCCATGTGGCAGCAAAGACACAAGGGTTATGGATGTGTTAGAAACCACGGAAGTGCCCGAGAAAGGTCATGTAGGAATTACGGCTTCTCCCCACAAAAAGGTGGCGGGATCAATAGCCCAACTGAAGTGCATCTACACCAATGCACGCAGCATGGGCAACAAACAGGAGGAGCTGGAAGCCATTGTGCAACTGGAAAACTATGACATAGTTGACATCATGGAAACATGGTGGGATGACTTGCACAACTGGAGTGCTGCAATGGCTGGCTACAAACTCTTCAGAAGAGACAGGCAAGGATGGAGAGGCGGTGGGGTAGCACTGTATGTTAGGCTACGTTTTTTTTTTTTATTGTTTTGATTGTCTAGAGCTTAATGACGGTGACGATAGGGTTGAGTGTTCATGGGTAAGAACCAGGGGGGAGGCCAACAAGGCAGATATCATGGTGGGAGTCTAGTATAGAGCACCCAACCAGGATGAAGTGGCAGAAAAAATATTCTCTAAGCAGCTGGGAGAAATCTCACAATCGCTAGCCTTTGGTCTTGTGGGGGACTTCAAATTACCAGGTGTCTGCTGGAAATACAATACAGCAGAGAGGAAACAGTCTAGGAGGTTCCTGAAGTATGTGGAAGATAACTTCCTCACACAGCTGGTGAGGGAGCCAACTAGGGAAGCCAACTAGGGAAGGCGCCCTGCTGGACCTCTTGTTTGTGAACAGAGAAGGCCTGGTGGGTGATGTGATGGTTGGAGGCTGTCTTGGGCATAGTGATCATGAAATGATAGATTTTTCAATTCTTGGAGAAGTAAGGAGGGGGATCAGCAGAACTGCTGCCTTGGACTTTCAGAGGACAGACTTTGGCCTGTTCAGGAGCCTGGTTGACAGAGTCCCTTGGGAGGCAGTCCTGAAAGGCAAAGGAGTCCAGGAAGGCTGGACATCCCTCAGGAAGGAAATCTTGAAGGCGCAGGAGCACGCCATCCCCATGTGCCAAAAGATAAGCTGGCAGGAAAGAAGACCAGCCTGGCAGAACAGAGAGCTTTGGCTGGAACTCAGGAATAAAAGGAGAGTTTACGACCTTTGGAAGAAGGGGCAGGCAACTCAGGAGGACTACAAGGATGTCGTGAGGTTATGCAGGGAGAAAGTTAGAAGGGCCAAAGCCCAGCTGGAACTTAATCTGGCTGCTGCTATAACAGACAATAAAAAATGTTTCTATAAATACATTAACAACA